ACACGTGGTGGTGTTCACTCTAGACACGTGGTGGTGCTCACTCTGACGCGTTGGGGTGTTCACTCTAGACACGGGGGTGGCTTCACTCTAGACACGTGGTGGTGTTCACTCTAGACACGTTGGTGCTCACTCTGACGCGTGGCGTGTTCACTCTAGACACGTGGTGGGTCACTCTGGACCGTGGTGGTGTTCACTCTAGACACGTGTGGTGTTCACTCTAGACACGTGGTGTGTCCTCTATACGTTGTGGTGTTCACTCTAGACCGTGGTGGTGTTCACTCTAGACACGTGGTGGTGTTCCTCTAGACACGTGGTGGTGTTCACTCTAGACACGTGCGGTGTTCACTCTAGACACTTGGTGGTGTTCACTCTGGACGCGTGGTGTGTTCACTCTAGACACGTGGTGGTGTTCACTCTGACGCGTGTGGTGTTCACTCTAGACACGTGGTGGTGTTCACTCTAGACATGTGGTGTGTTCACTCTAGATGCGTGGTGGTGTTCACTCTAGACACGTTGGTGTTCACTCTAGACACGTGGTGGTGTTCACTCTAGACCCGTGGTGGTGTTCACTCTAGACACGTGGCGTTGTTCACTCTGGACCGTGGTGGGTTCACTCTAGACACGTGGTGGTTTCACCTAGACACGTGGTGGTGTTCACTCTAGACACGTGTGGTGTTCACTCTGGACGCGTGTGGTGTTCACTCTAGATGCGTGGTGTGTTCACTCTGGACGCGTGGTGGTGTTCACTCTGGACGCGTGGTGGTGTTCACTCTGGACGCGTGGTGGTGTTCACTCTAGACGCGTGGTGGTGTTCACTCTAGATGCGTGGTGGTGTTCACTCTAGACGCGTGGCGCTGCTCACTCTGGACCTCGTGGTGGTGTTCACTCTAGATGCGTGGTGGTGTTCACTCTAGACGCGTGGTGGTGTTCACTCTGGACGCGTGGTGTTCACTCTAGCGTGGTGGTGTTCACTCTAGACGCGTGGTGGTGTTCACTCTAGACACTGTGGTGCTCACTCTAGACACGTGGTGGTGTTCACTCTAGACGCGTGGCGGTGCTCACTCTGGACGCGTGGGTGGTGTTCACTCTAGACGCGTGGTGGTGTTCACTCTAGACGCGTGGTGGTGTTCACGCTTGACGCGTGGTGGTGTTCACTCTGGACGCGTGGTGGTGTTCCATCTAGACGCTGGTGGTGTTCACTCTAGACACGTGGTGGTGTTCACTCTAGACACGTGGTGGGGTTCACTCTAGACGCGTGGTGGTGTTCACTCTAGACCGCGTGGCGTGCTCACTCTGGACGCGTGGTGGTGCTCACTCTAGACACGTGTGGTGTTCACTCTAGACACGTGGTGGTGTTCACTCTAGACACGTGGTGTGTTCACTCTGGACGCGTGGTGTGTTCACTCTAGACGCGTGGCGGTGCTCACTCTAGACACGTGTGGTGTTCACTCTAGACACGTGGTGGTGTTCACTCTAGACGCGTTGCGGTGCTCACTCTGGACACGTGGTGGTGCTCACTCTAGACACGTGGTGGTGCTCACTCTAGACGCGTGGCGGTGCTCACTCTAGACACGTGGTGGTGTTCACTCTAGACACGTGGTGGTGTTCACTCTAGACGCGTGGTGGTGTTCACTCTAGACACGTGGCGGTGTTCACTCTAGACACGTGGTGGTGCTCACTCTAGACGCGTGGTGGTGTTCACTCTAGACACGTGGCGGTGTTCACTCTAGACACGTGGAGGTGTTCACTCTAGACACGTGGCGGTGTTCACTCTAGACGCGTGGTGGTGTTCACTCTAGACACGTGGTGGTGCTCACTCTAGACGCGTGGTGGTGTTCACTCTAGACACGTGGTGGTGTTCACTCTGGACGCGTGGCGGTGTTCACTCTAGACACGTGGTGGTGTTCACTCTAGACACATGGTGGTGCTCACTCTAGACGCGTGGTGGTGTTCACTCTAGACACGTGGCGTGTTCACTCTAGACACGTGGTGGTGCTCACTACTAGACGCGTGGTGGTTTCACTCTAGACACGTGGAGGTGTTCACTCTAGACACGTGGCGGTGTTCACTCTAGACGCGTGGTGGTGTTCACTCTAGACACGTGGCGGTGTTCACTCTAGACACGTGGAGGTGTTCACTCTAGACACGTGGCGGTGTTCACTCTAGACACGTGGCGTGTTCACTCTGGACGTGTGGTGGTGTTCACTCTGGACGCGTGGTGGTGTTCACTCTAGACCGTGGTGGTGCTCACTCTACGCGTGGTGGTGTTCACTTCTGGACGCGTGGTGGTGTTCACTCTAGACACGTGGTGGTGCTCACTCTAGACACGTGGTGGTGCTCACTCTGGACGCGTGGCGGTGTTCACTCTAGACACGTGGCGGTGCTCACTCTAGACGCGTGGTGTGTTCACTCTAGACACGTGGTGGTGCTCACTCTGGACGCGTGGCGGTGTTCACTCTAGACACGTGGTGGTGTTCACTCTGGACGCGTGGTGGTGTTCACTCTAGACACGTGGTGGTGTTCACTCTAGACACGTGGTGGTGTTCACTCTAGACGCGTGGTGGTGTTCACTCTAGACACTGGTGGTGTTTCACTCTAGACACGTGGTGGTGTTCACTCTAGACACGTGGCGGTGTTCACTCTAGACACGTGGCGGTGTTCACTCTAGACACGTGGTGGTGTTCACTCTGGACGCGTGGTGGTGTTCACTCTAGACACGTGGTGGTGTTCACTCTGGACGCGTGGTGGTGTTCACTCTAGACACGTGGTGGTGTTCACTCTAGACATGTGGTGGTGTTCACTCTAGACGCGTGGTGGTGTTCACTCTAGACACGTGGTGGTGTTCACTCTAGACACGTGGTGGTGTTCACTCTAGACACGTGGTGGTGTTCACTCTAGACACGTGGCGGTGTTCACTCTGGACGCGTGGTGGTGTTCACTCTAGACACGTGGTGGTGTTCACTCTAGACACGTGGTGGTGGTTCACTCTAGACACGTGGTGGTGTTCACTCTGGACGCGTGGTGGTGTTCACTCTAGATGCGTGGTGGTGTTCACTCTGGACGCGTGGTGGTGTTCACTCTGGACGCGTGGTGGTGTTCACTCTGGACGCGTGGTGGTGTTCACTCTAGACGCGTGGTGGTGTTCACTCTAGATGCGTGGTGGTGTTCACTCTAGACGCGTGGCGCTGCTCACTCTGGACGCGTGGTGGTGTTCACTCTAGATGCGTGGTGGTGTTCACTCTAGACGCGTGGTGGTGTTCACTCTGGACGCGTGGTGGTGTTCACTCTAGACGCGTGGTGGTGTTCACTCTAGACGCGTGGTGGTGTTCACTCTAGACACGTGGTGGTGCTCACTCTAGACACGTGGTGGTGTTCACTCTAGACGCGTGGCGGTGCTCACTCTGGACGCGTGGTGGTGTTCACTCTAGACGCGTGGTGGTGTTCACTCTAGACGCGTGGTGGTGTTCACGCTAGACGCGTGGTGGTGTTCACTCTGGACACGTGGTGGTGTTCACTCTAGACGCGTGGTGGTGTTCACTCTAGACACGTGGTGGTGTTCACTCTAGACACGCGGTGGTGTTCACTCTAGACACGTGGTGGTGTTCACTCTAGACGCGTGGTGGTGTTCACTCTAGACGCGTGGCGGTGCTCACTCTGGACGCGTGGTGGTGCTCACTCTAGACACGTGGTGGTGTTCACTCTAGACACGTGGTGGTGTTCACTCTAGACACGTGGTGGTGTTCACTCTGGACGCGTGGTGGTGTTCACTCTAGACGCGTGGCGGTGCTCACTCTAGACACGTGGTGGTGTTCACTCTAGACACGTGGTGGTGTTCACTCTAGACGCGTTGCGGTGCTCACTCTGGACACGTGGTGGTGCTCACTCTAGACACGTGGTGGTGCTCACTCTAGACGCGTGGCGGTGCTCACTCTAGACACGTGGTGGTGTTCACTCTAGACACGTGGTGGTGTTCACTCTAGACGCGTGGTGGTGTTCACTCTAGACGCGTGGCGGTGCTCACTCTAGACACGTGGTGGTGTTCACTCTAGACACGTGGTGGTGTTCACTCTAGACGCGTGGTGGTGTTCACTCTGGACGCGTGGCGGTGTTCACTCTAGACACGTGGTGGTGCTCACTCTAGACGCGTGGTGGTGTTCACTCTGGACGCGTGGTGGTGTTCACTCTAGACACGTGGTGGTGTTCACTCTGGACGCGTGGTGGTGTTCACTCTAGATGCGTGGTGGTGTTCACTCTGGACGCGTGGTGGTGTTCACTCTGGACGCGTGGTGGTGTTCACTCTGGACGCGTGGTGGTGTTCACTCTAGACGCGTGGTGGTGTTCACTCTAGATGCGTGGTGGTGTTCACTCTAGACGCGTGGCGCTGCTCACTCTGGACGCGTGGTGGTGTTCACTCTAGATGCGTGGTGGTGTTCACTCTAGACGCGTGGTGGTGTTCACTCTGGACGCGTGGTGGTGTTCACTCTAGACGCGTGG